GCCCACAACCATGAGAACCAGGACCACAATGGAGAGGCCGCCCACAACCATGAGAACCAGGACCCCAATGGAGGGCCAGCCCACAACCATGAGAACCAGGACCACAATGGAGAGGCTGCACACAACCATGAGAACCAGGACCCCAATGGAGAGGCCGCCCACAACCATGAGAACCAGGACCACAATGGAGGGCCAGCCCACAACCCTGAGAACCAGGACCACAATGGAGAGGTCGGGCCCTACAGGAACCGCTATTGGTTGGGACTGCCGGCGGATCCGTTCTCTGCAGAGCTGTACTCCGTATACTTCTTGGCGCTCCCCTGGACCCGAGCGGCCGGATACTTCGCCGCATTCAACTCCATCTTGGCAAGGACAGCGCGTGGGAGGTCCACATGACATTTCTCTGCCAGTTCCAGCAGGTAGATGAGGACATCGCTGAGCTCATGAGAGAGAGACTCCCGCTGAGACTGCGACCAGCCGGGGAGACCTTCCGAGACCTCCCCCTGCCACTGACTGGAAGAGAGAGAGAGCGTCAGGCCAAGAAGAAGATACTCAACACCAACATTTATAGTATACCAGTCTCTGGATAGGCACCACCAATAGAGGGAGCCCATACTAACCAGAGGCCTCCATCATACCACCAGACCTTCATCTTACCGGAACCCGCCATTATACCACCATCCCTCCACGTCTTACCAGAACCCCCATCCCCCACATCATACCACCAGACCTTCACCCCACCACATCTTACCAAAACACTTAACCAGCCCACCCCCACCATGTCTGACCAGAACCCTCCACTGCATCACTAGTTACCCCACGACACACATACTCACAAGAGCTCTGCCACCTCGCCCACCTCCCCAACCAGAGCCAGGAGGAGGTTCCGCGGTTGATGGAACTGGTTCCAGTCTCTCTCTGCTGTGAACTGAGCCTGTCGCTGGCGGCTGGAGGAACAGAAAACATCTCTAGAGCTCAGAGAAATGGAATTCTGGGTAAAGGACATCTAGTATTCTAAGACCCCCTTCCCCCAAATATGAACAGAGGTATTCCCAACAGCATCCCTATCAGAGACCTCCCTACCCTCCGACCGGCTGCAGATCAGTGATTGGCTACTTCATATTCCCAGCATGCACTGCAAGCTCCATGTCTGACCTCATTGGCTGGCTGAGTATGCTGAAACCCTTCACTGAGCTGGAGAAGCAACAGTCAATGTTTACCTTGTAAAAAGCATTTCCTCCCCATCAGAGCGCTGGGTGCAGGATATTTATCTTCCCCAGACTGACCTCAAAGTGGATCAATCCACACCCCCAAATCTATCCCATGACCCCAGTTTGACCAGTCACATGACACTCACATTTGCTCCATACTGGGAGAGTCACTAAAGCGGAACTCAGTCTGAGGGCAGCGGGGAGGACTGAGAGACTGCGACACCGGAGAGCTCTGCAGGGGAACAAAAATCCATTATTAAGAACAAACACTCCCCCCCATGACGACACCTCCCCCCAGTGCCAGCAACGCCGCCAAGACGCCTCCCCCCAGTGCCAGCAACGCCGCCAAGACGCCTCCCCCCAGTGCCAGCAACGCCGCCAAGACGCCTCCCCCCAGTGCCAGCAACGCCGCCAAGACGCCTCCCCCCAGTGCCAGCAACGCCGCCAAGACGCCTCCCCCCAGTGCCAGCAACGCCGCCAAGACGCCTCCCCCCAGTGCCAGCAACGCCGCCAAGACGCCTCCCCCCAGTGCCAGCAACGCCGCCAAGACGCCTCCCCCCAGTGCCAGCAACGCCGCCAAGACGCCTCCCCCCAGTGCCAGCAACGCCGCCAAGACGCCTCCCCCCAGTGCCAGCAACGCCGCCAAGACGCCTCCCCCCAGTGCCAGCAACGCCGCCAAGACGCCTCCCCCCAGTGCCAGCAACGCCGCCAAGACGCCTCCCCCCAGTGCCAGCAACGCCGCCAAGACGCCTCCCCCCAGTGCCAGCAACGCCGCCAAGACGCCTCCCCCCAGTGCCAGCAACGCCGCCAAGACGCCTCCCCCCAGTGCCAGCACCACAAAGACCCCAACTATGACTGGAAGGTAAGGGGGGGTGCAGACACATCTAAATTGTTTGGGGTTTTGCAGCTACCATTCTCCCTCCCAGATGGCAATATTTGGGGTCCCCGTTCCCCCCGCAAAGGCAGTGTTTGGGGTCCCTGCCACCCCCCTCCATGGCAGTGGTTTGGGGTCCCTGCCACCCCCCTCCATGGCAGTGGTTTGGGGTCCCTGCCACCCCCCTCCATGGCAGTGGTTTGGGGTCCCTGCCACCCCCCTCCATGGCAGTGGTTTGGGGTCCCTGCCACCCCCCTCCATGGCAGTGGTTTGGGGTCCCTGCCACCCCCCTCCATGGCAGTGGTTTGGGGTCCCTGCCACCCCCCTCCATGGCAGTGGTTTGGGGTCCCTGCCACCCCCCTCCATGGCAGTGGTTTGGGGTCCCTGCCACCCCCCTCCATGGCAGTGGTTTGGGGTCCCTGCCACCCCCCTCCATGGCAGTGGTTTGGGGTCCCTGCCACCCCCCTCCATGGCAGTGGTTTGGGGGGGATCAGCTCCTCCAGAAACATATAACAGGTACAATAAAAGTGTTCTGCAGTCACCAATGGTGAGCACCGTACAACACTCCCACCCTGAGAGCGACATCTATAGAGAAGTGGGGTGCCATGCTAAGCTCCCCTCCCCATGCCTGCAATATGCCGCTATCTCACCTCCATCATACAGCACGCACGTGGTTCAGGCACACACTTCCCGTTAGGGCGGGGCCTCCTCTGTACATATAATCCTCCCGACCAATCAGCATATCCCTTTCTCCCGCTCTGCTTTATTGCTGGCCGTTACCATGAAGACAAGACCCTGCCCCCTGTGGGAGGATAGTACTGCCCCGCCCCATAAGTGTCTGTACCTCAAGAAGGGACTGTGATCATCCAATCAGCGAACTCCTCTCTCCTTGTCTGCACCCAGCGGGCGGAAAGCGCGTGTTACCACGAGGATTGGAGACCGCCCATTATGTGCATTGCCACGCCCCTCAATGGGATCTGGAATGACTCGTCAAATAACCCCGCCCCCTCTCATCGCAGACAGTACTGCTTGTTTACAGATACTGTGGGGTGGGGGTGTCCAGGGTCACCTGACAGGAAGTCATGTGATCACCTCTGTCCGTCCGTTACCATAGGAATAAAAGCCTATTATAGCTATTCCATTGCATGTCTCCCACAGACTGTTTACAGCTACTTCCTGTCTACATGACTCCAGTAATGCCTGCATGGCATTTCTTAGGTGACAACAGTGGACCATTTCTGTGTAATATGTGTCAGGGTGACAACACAAGAGGACAACAGAGACATGGACAAAGCGTTGTCACCCTATAACAGAAAGTGTCTGAAGAAGGACAGAGTGTTGACACCCTAAGAGACTGAGAAGATACCGGAGTCTGGACCACAGGGAGACCTTCCTCCTAAAATGTGAGGATGAGCGCAGTGCACGGAAGCCACCAGAAGATGGCCACCCCGAGAGAGGACAATTCATCCCTCAAGTTTGGTGTCTGGACTCCGGGAAGAGACCTCCTGCATTGATTCTGTGACAGGTGGGCACAGGTTGGGTGATGCCGACGCAGAGCGGGTGTCAGGGCTCCTGGTTTGGCTGCCACTCCACCCACCTGTGACTCCGCCTTTGTCTGAGCACACTATGGAACGTTGCTCACTACTCCCCGGCTCCCTCTTCTGGCCAGACAGGAGAACGTCACCTGAGAGAGCCAGGTGGGAGTTTCCTGTCCCTGAGTGATGATGTCACACCACTCACTATATATATAAACCACTCAGACGAGGGGCTTTACCATGGACCCCCAGAAATTAGCCGCCGTGCTCCAATGGCCTCGCCCGGTTGGTTTACGTTCCATCCAACGACTTTTGGGCTTCCCTACTTATCATGAATTCATCATGAATGACTCCGCCCCGGTCCCACCCATCACTGACCTGACTAAGGGGGGTGCGGACCCTCTGCCCTGGTCTCCGGCCGCTGAACAAGCCCTTGAGAAGCTGAAATTGGCTTTGTCCACCGCACCGCTCTTAGCCCCGCCCATCCCGGCCTCACCATTCCTATTGGAGGTGGACGAGTCGGGGGTCGGCGCCCTCCTGTCTCAACGTTCCTCACCCGTAGGGCTGACTTCACCCGTGAGGGTTCTTTTCTAAGAGACCGTCTCCGGCTGAGTCCAAGTACGAGATCGGCGACGGGGAATTGTTGGCGATCATCGGGGGTCCCCCTCAAGGATCGGCCGCATCTCCCTGAGGGGACCCCCCCTGTTCCCGTGTTGACACTCACTCACCACAAGGATCTCACCTATCTCCTGGAGGCCAAACGACTATCCTCCCGGCAGGCCAGGTGGGCTTTCTTCCTGTCTGGCCCGGGTCTAGGAACGTTGAGGGTGACGCCCTGTCCGAGGAGGAGACTGTTCCTGTTGTACCTCCTAATCGCCTCCACACGCTCCAGTCTGACGTCACCTTTGGGGGGGGGGAGGGGGGACACATTTTGGCTGCTCAGTCCGATGCTCCTCCGGAGAGGCCGGTGGGAAAACGCTTTGTACCGGTAGACCTCCGAACCAAGCTCCTTTCCGTATACCACGTTGCCAAGGCTTCGGGCCACCCGGGCAGGAATGGTGATGGTTTGGTCTGTGACCAGTTTTGGTGGCCGGGGATCCGTAACGACTTTGTAGCTTCCTGTCAGGTTTGTGCTCAGGCCACCTTCCGGTGGGATTGCTGCAGCCCGCCCCGAATGGTGGGCGCCCCGGGACACACTCATCCATGGGTTTTATTGTGGACCTGCCTGATTCTAAAGGCCACACGGCCATCCTCGTGGATTTTCTTAGATGGTTCGTTGTGTTCCATTGAAGAAACTTCCTTCTGCCCATGAGCTTGCCGTCGTTTTTGCCAGGGAGGTCTTACGGTCGCTTGGGGTACCTCAGGTCGTTGTCTCGGATAGGGGCAGCCAGTTGGTCTCTCGGGTCTTGGCGCGCCTTCTCTGCTCAGTTGGGGATTCAGCTTTCCTTCTCCTCGGCTTACCATCCACCAGTCCCAACGGGGCTGCAGAGCGGGCTGACCAAGCCTTGGAGCGATTCCCGAAGTGTTACATCTCAGACCATCATGGCAACCGGTCGGACCTTTTGCCGCGGGCAGAGTTCGCTCATAATAGCCACGTCAACTCCTCCACTCGCCTTCCACCCTTCCTGGTGAACTTTGGGTTTCAACCTGCAGTAGTTGCCCGATTCGTCCCAATCCCAAAGGTTACCGGCTCTGGAGGACCACCTTCAAGAGCTCCGCTCCACATGGGTGCAGGTTCAGGAGTGTCTCCGAGGTGCAGCTCGGGGCTCCAGGCTGATCGTAGACGTATGCCCGCTCCATCCGAGGTGCAGCTCGGGTCTCCAGGCTGATCGTAGACGTATGCCCGCTCCATCCTACCAGGTCGGGGAGAGGGTTTGGCTGTCCTCTCGCAATTTGCATCTCTGGGTTCCCACCAACAAGCTGGCTCCCCGTTACGTTGGACCATATCGTATCCTTCGCAAAAGATCCATCCGGTAGCCTACGCTCTAGACCTCCCTGAGTCCATGCGCATCCCCCATGTTTTCCATGTCTCGCTCCTTAAGTCTCTGATCTGTAATCGCTTCACTTCTTCTGCTGCCCGTCCTAGTCAAGGACCACAAGGGGTATGTTACTCGCAGTATAATGGATTCCCGTGTGTCTAGGGGCCGTTGGCAGTATTTGGTTCATTGGAAAGGCTATGGTCCGGAGGAACGCTCTTAGTTGGCATCTGAAGATGTTCACGCCCCCGCTCTGTTGTGCTCCTTCCATGCTCGTTTTCCCTCTAAACCAGGTCCCTCTCCAAGGGGAGGGGGGGGGGGG